TACTTCTTTCCACTAGGGGACGTAAAAATGGTATTTAAAATAATAATGTACCCCAAAAACGAAAGCATGACTTTTGGGCGTTACAGCTCAGATTGTCAAAAAAATCTGAGATATATTTTTCTACATTTTTCTTCTTCGAATTTCGAACTAAAAATGTGAAAACAAAAACATTTAATTTTTTTATGCCTCAATATTAATACCCTACATCACATAGTGGTAAGTGGTATTGTGTATTTGAGCATTTGTTTGTAACATGGAGAAGGAAGCGAGATGGAGCCATAGTTACTTTTGAGGATCTTCAGAGGATCACTTTCTGAGCCGATTTATGCATGTCAGTACGTCTGTCAATCTGTCTGTCCATGTATTTTTGTGAACAAAATGCAGGTAGCATTTATTATCCGATTGAAATGAAATTCTTTAAAAAATATTTATTTGGCCCGATGACGAACCCTATTGAAATTGGTTAGAATCGGTTCAAATTTAGATATAGCTCCCATATACAGGGTGAGATAAAAACCTGCAACAAAATCAAACGCCATAATTTTTACATTTTATACCCTCCACCTAGTATGGAGGGTACATTAAATTTCTCATTCCGTTTGTAATTCCTCGAAATATACATTTTAGACCCCACAAAGTATATATTTTCTAGATCAGCATAAAATTCTATGTTGATTTGGCGATGTCCGTCCGTCTATCCCTCTGTGGAAATCATTCTAGCTTCCGAAAGAAATGTTGATAAAATTTTACTCAAATACATATTATGTCTCCAGGACTTTTGATATTAAAAAATGGGCCTTTGTAGGTACACGCTTCCGTATGCCCCCCACTCCCCCCCTACAACCGTACCCCCCGATATTCGGTATTTTAATGATTTTATCAACAATTTTCAATGGAATTGTCTTAAAAATAAACCCAACGCGTTCCTTGCAAGTACTTCACTCCCTGGAAGGGAATTGTTCATGTAGGTAAACGATATCGTAGATCCCCCATACAACGTTAACTCCCCCCCATTTTCGGTATTTTGTTGATTGTAGCTAATGATTTTTCAATAAAATTGTCTGAAAATTCACATGAGGATTTCTTCCTTAGAACTTCATCGTCTGGAAGATTATTGTCTACGTAGGTCCACGATATCGTATATCAACAACATAACGGTTCCCCCCGATATTTGATATTTGGCGATTTTAGGGACGTTATTCACCGGCATTGTTTCAAATTTCCTACCTAGAATTCGGAATGGGTACTATAGTCTATGCTAAAAAATTGCTTATGTAGGTCCACGTTTTGGTATACCTCCCATATAACTGTACCTCCCGATATTCGCTATTTTGATTATTTTATTGACATTATTCACCGGAATTGTTTCAAATTTGGTATTTGAAGTTCGTAATGGATACTACAGCCTATTGCAAAAATTTTGGTGTGCAGGTCCACGCCTTCGTATAGCCCCCATATAACGGTACCTCCCAATATTCGGTAGTTTGATAATTTTAGCGAATTTATTCACCGGAATTGTTTCAAATTTGGTACTTGAAGTTGCATATGGATACTACAGCCTATGACAGAAAATTGTCTGTGCAGGTCCACGCCTTTGTATAGCCCCCAATAACGGTACCCCCCGATATTCGGTATATTAAAGATTTTAGCGACATTTTTCACCCGAATTGTTCCAAATTTGGTACTTAAAGTTCGTAGTGGATACTACAGCCCATAACAGAAAATTGTCTGTGCAAGTGCAGGCCTTCGTATAGCTCCCATATAACGGTACCTCCCGATATTCGGTATTTTGATGGGTTTAGCGACGTCCAGGAAGTGGAAGGAAGAAAATAGCACCATCAGCGGAAATGGTTCGAAAAGTAAAGAAGCGACTTGATCGAAACCCACGTCGCAGTTGCCGAAAATGGCTCGTGAGCAGAACATATCGCAATATTCCATTCGGCAAATATTGAAAAATGAGCTCGGTGTAAAGCTATTGAAATTCCAAAAAGTGCAAGATCTTATACCGCAACATAATGAAAATAGATTCAAAAGATCTAAAGAGTAGCTTCGCTTGGCCGAAAGTGGCGAACTGCCGAATTTGGTTTTCTCCGATGAGAAAACATTCGTTGTCTAGCAATTTGTAAACAAACACAATGATCGTGTTTACTTGTTGTTGACAAAGAGGTCAGCTGAAATGTGTACCTCCAGTTGGACACCAGAGCTCAAGCGCTGTCAATGGTGATGACCATGTGGGCCGTCCTAACAGCCGATGATCTCTCTCCGTTCGTATCAATCGACAGTGGCATCAGAATAAATGCCGAATGTTGTGGCGAAAAAGTTCTGGAGGGTGTATTAAAGCATTGGGCATGCAAACATTTTGGCTGCATACCTTGGACATTCCAACAGAACTCAGCACGAGGCACCCAAGAAAGGTTACAAAATGAAGTTCCTCGCTTCATTTCCAGCGCACAATTCCCACCAAAATCTCTCGATACCAAACCGTTGGACTATTGTGTCTGGAGTATTTTGGAAAGCAAGGTTGGCACTAAAAATACCAAAGTGTCGTTCACCTCAAGCAAGCGCTTCGCCGGGAATGGGCCAAAATACCGCAGAGCAACATTCAGGCAGCGTGTGACCGTTTCATTGGACGTTTGAAGGTCATAATTCGTGCCAAAGGTGACCAATTCGAACAAATCTAAACTTATTCTAAAATTTTATGCTATTTCCGAAATTTTTTGCTTTCGGTCAATAAAATTTAAAAAAATATATAAAAATTATGGCGTTTGACTTTGTTGCAGTTTTTTTTCTCGCCCTGTATATTTCGAGGTGTTACAAACGGAATGATAAACTTAATGTACCCTCCATACTATGGTGGAGGGTATAAAAATAACAATGTCAAACTCTCATATATCTCTAAAATTATATTTGAAGAAATCTAAAAAAGGAGCTTTCAATGCCTTTAAAAATATTGACAAATTGGTCCATTAAAGTTTTTATTACATAGTTCTGAGGAAGGGGTTGAACAACGTTGAGAATGGAAATAGGTTTTCGTATAGCACCACTGTTGCTGCTTGGCCTACGTTTCTATAGCAATCTGTTGGATCTCCCTCTATACATCGGGTATGTCTTTCCTGGCAATCCTGTGTGTGGGGGAGGCTTATCCACCGATCTGTATTTTTCGAAATCGGCTTCTCTATTATGAGAGCTTTTAATACCTTTAAAAATATTGACAAAATGGTCTATTTAAGTTCTTATCGCATATTTTTGAGGAAGGGGTTTAATAACGTTGAGGATGGAAACATGTTTTCGTATAGCACCACTGTTGCTGCTTGGCCTGCGTTTATATATACCTGTGTGGGGGAGATCTTTCCAGCAACCTGTAATTTTCGAAATCGCCTCCTCACTCACTAATGTTAACAAATTTCCGAAAAATTCCAACTCAGCATTTTCTTTTTTCCAATTTTTGGCCGGTTGTGACACCACCAGCAACTATATTGCTGAGGCTACATTTTAAGCCTCAACAGGTTTATTTGGCAGATCTGAATTCATACCCTCGTAGTCCCTCATGGTGGTAACACCTCTGGTCGATTTTCCATATCTGAGACCATCTCCCTTTATATCTCAACAGAAGAACATCAGCTGCCAAGACAAAGGCGAAAGGTTTTAGCCAATAAAGTCTCCCAATAAGCCAATATATCATGAGCCCCTACCCCAACAGGTATATCACGCAGATCTGAATTCATACTCTCATAGTCGCTCATAGTAGTAAAACCACTGGGCGATTTTCCTTCTCTGAGTCCATCCTCCTTATATGTCAACAAAAGAACAGCAGCTGCCAAGGTAAAGGCGAAAGGTTTTAGCCAATAAAGTTTCCCCCCAACCCTCGCTGTGTTCAAGCATTTCTTCAAGTTCTGTTACATGAATGCAATTATTATTGCAATTACCCATTTGTTTCAAGTTTCCCCAACTTGAAATCGAATACAATTGAACTACAAACCCCAAAAAGTATTCACACACACACAACTATGAGCATACACATACATATGTATGTCGGTGTGTGAAACAAAAATTACAATATCTGCAAAAAAAAAAAAACAAAAATTAAAACAAACCTCTTTCGTTTATTAAATTTCCGCATTTTCAAAAGACAATCAAACAATAAAGCGGCAATAAATGACAAAATGCTGCCAACAACAAAAACAACAACAAAGAAACCAACAAACAAAATATCACACACCATAATTGACCAATAAAACAAAACTCAACAACATTAACATCAATACGACAAAAACCGTTAATACAACAACAACACCAAGAGCCCCCCAACCATTACAACTTGAAGCCAAATGTGAACACTCATTTCAATGATTGGTGTTGTCGACGGTATCCACTTTTGATTTTTTGGCAAACATTGCGTTCGTCGCCAAACACACACACACACACACACTTAACATTGGCGACCCCCGTTGTAATGTCGGCTAATTTGTTGTTGCTGTTCCGTACGCACATTTACAGTCGAAGTGTGAGAGAGAGAGAGAGGACAATATAGGGGAAGAGTTGGTATTAACGGACATCGACGCTATTTGTTTGATGAGATAGTTGCATGAATTGTTGCTTTTAAGGGTACAGGGAGGGGTTTTGTTTGCTTAAGTCATAAACAAGACAGTGTGGTGGTAGGGAGGCTAGGAGGTTGTTCGGCCATTCATTCGTTTCGGCTTTGGGCCAACACACTGACCACTGTTAATGTAAAATAATGTAATGCAAACATGTTTATTTTATTTGATTTGCTGACCATACGTACAACAGCTATTGTATGTGTGTTGGTGTACTTTCATACCGTTTCGTTGTACCCTGAGTATGAAAGACACGTTTGCTCGTATTTATTGCTACTTAGCTGTTGTTGTTATTATTATTCGCAGAGGTTGATATCGTATAGGTTCACTTACCACCAATTGGTTATGTTGCTGTGACACTGTGTAATTGTTAATAGGTAATAATTAGATACATTGGTAAAACAC